CATTGAGCGCTTGCTCAGTATAGTAGGCAAAGGAGCTTAAGAAATGCGATTCTAACGACGATGAAATTATTGAATTTTTTTGGAAATTTTTTAATCATTCCTCATTTGAGAATTTTTTTTATGCCCAGTTCCTTTACGGTGGGGAAAGAGAGAAATAATTTTGCTAGTGTTTAAAACACTCTCACTAAATCTCGTTCCCAGGTAGCCAATAGCAGTGAGAGAAGTTCAAACTCAATGGCAGAAACTCTTGTGCTTTTACGTGAAGTGACTTCTCAAGAGGCTTCCGAAAAAGCATCAGTAAACAGTTAAAATATAAAATGCGAACTCATTTTCTACGAAATGACAAATATCCTTGAACCACTTTTTCAACGGTAGTATACTTAATCAGAGAATGAATTACTCATGGTGTCTCTTTTAGAGTACTCCACAATTCTTTGCCTTTGAGGTTCTGATCTATCACATCTTTAACAGAGGCACACACTTTTTAAGTGTATACTTTGTTTCTGTTGAAACGAAAAAAGGCTTGTCAGTAATTATATCCTTCACTCTCTAACGTGTAATAAAAGGAAATTAGAGCCAAACTTTGCCAAGGTTGGTCGCTTAGAAGAGTTTGGACACCGGAGGACTTTACCGTGAACAGGTTGTGCATATCTAACTGAGACACGGCACACATAAATCAAAAGATCACCGTCACATTTTTATCACTGCGAATATACCACTTATCGACCTGGCAGTACGCAGAATCTTGGTCACATGAAGTTAGTACCCCATTTTCCGGGTTCCCCCGGGTCTGTGCATCAAAACGAGGTTACGTGCTCAGCCTTTGATATGAAATCTCATACGAATAAAACTCATTTTCACAAGAAAGGTTGTGCACTTGGCCTCATTTTGAAAATGAGGGTTTTAGAACTTGCGAGTGGCCTGTTTAATGCCCCTAGTTCCCACAAGTCTCTTGTAGCTCAGTGGTAGAGCATCCGAACTGGTGACCAGAAGAAGGTCCTGTGTTCGATTCCCGAGTCGCCCTTGTCGCTGATTAAATAAACATGACCCACAGTATCAAAATCGCGTGATGTCGCAGTACCCACTATTTTGGCATCATGTATCAGGTGGCCGCTTCAGAAAAGTTAAAAACAAGACAGATATTGACACCGCAAAAATGGGTGGCGGCTACTTAAAAAAAGAGACAATTTTGACGGTGTAAATTTAGGTACTTTGGATTAGAGGTCGCCTACGAGTAACCTTCGATGGGTTCCTTCCTTTTTTAAAGATAACAGGGAGAAAGCAAGATCTCAGTCTACCTGCCAGAGACGATTGTACATGAACGTTCGACTTAATTACCAAAGTTCTTCACTACATACCCTCCATTAATGGGTCTCCCTTCCTCACTGTTGCCAACCTAAAAAAAGTAAGGAACAACGTTTAGACAACTTTACATAGAAGACCTTACAAAGAACAGTTCGTTCTATAGCAAGTGTCAAAACGTGCGGTAATTTATACTTGGGTTTAATCAACACAACTTTGAGCGATGACAGCATGAGATAAAAACCTCTCCTGCTACTAAAGTGCTCGCGACGTGATATCAAAAACTGCAAAGTTACACACATACTTAAGAGACAAAGAACATCTCCACAAACCACTCCTTTGGAATTGGAGTCCTTCCATTCCGGGATACAGGTTAGGGTTTACTGATCAATTAGACTCACCTCAAAGCCTTTTTTCTTTGAAAGTATCACCAAGACTATGGCTACAAGGATTAACAGGCAACCCAAGGCTATGAGAAGATACTCAATCACATATGCTATTGTAATCGCGCGGTAAACTTTATCTTTGAATTCTGTTGCTTTCTCATCACTGATCATTGCAGTCTGGAAACACACAACACGTGGACGTCAGTAATAGCATTTCCGCTTGAATATATGAGATAAATAGTCACCTGTATGCTTGCTAAACACTGGCGAGCCTGCGATCAAGCTCCTTAATTTAAGCGCAAATAGACTGGTAGCTCGCGTATGGCACCGAGCGCTTGCGAGCCCGCACACACAAAAAATAAGGTCGGCAATTCCGCACTTCAGAGACCATAAGGGGAAAAGGTACAAGCTTTCGGCATCGCAACGATTTCTGGAATCGTTTGGATGGAAAAACGTTACTTACGATCGACCAGTCATAACGAAGGCTTGTTTCCCAGGGATATCCCAAAAATCACTGCACCCAAAGCATGCACTGTTTCTCCCTATAGTTTCTGATGTGGGGAATCTCATACAAATTACTGTATTTGGTCAATTAGTGCCTTTTCCACTGGAAGACGGCCAGGTCCAGAGAATACTTGTTCGCAGGCTTCACACGAGCGGTTTAAATATCACTTCTCAAGAAAACACAATAATTATATCAGGGACCAAAATCTTAGGAATATAGTCAGCTCTCTCTTAACGGACACCTCTGCAAGACGAACACCTCGCTGAAACGGACAGCTAGAGTTGACCCCTAGCTGTCTTTCTTCACTCTTTTTGGTAGACTCTCTATAACACTGACATCTCTCTGAGACGGACATATGGGTGTCAGAGAAATTCGACTGTATGATGAATAAAGAGAAGGATAATCAAGGGCAAAATAAATTAAAAGGAATTCTGTTTATTACCACAAATTAAGTGTGAAAATTGGTTAAAATGGATAAACAAATATTCACTACTCAGCATGCAACTAACAGCAACCCACCTCAGCAGCGAACATAACTGGGAGAAACACGGGTTGAAATTTGCCAGTCGTTTGCCTGTAAAAAGTGAAAGAAAATCATATCCTGAAGAGATTTCCCCATCAAACAAAATATAAACTAACTGCGTTTTCAGCAAATTCAGCAAACTTGATCTCACCGCAGTACAATAATGCGGAAATAAGCTCTGACGGAAGTAACAATACAGGCACATTAACGCATACCTGCTAACCTCCGGAGATCTAAAATCTGGAGACTCTCTATTTTGC